TTTTGCAATTTTTCTGTTCTATTTTTATTTATTTTTTTCCGTTTGGCCCCATTGGGAGTCTTATCTCACATGCTGCATCGCAAACTGCTTGTAAATAGCATTCATGGTCTGATACTAATGGAACTTTTGACCATTTGCGATGCCGGTAATACCCTCTCCGGCCCGCTGCAAACAGCAATTTGACGCACCACACTGAAAACCAAAACCAAGCTGAGCCAAACCAGGTTGCATCCATATCATGACATTCGTGTTGGTGGTTTTTGAAATCGTTCTTTTGAATTTTACCTTTGTTCTGACCACGCCAATACACTTGGACCCGGAAGTTCATTTGTGCGCTTGTTTTTGATGGGTTTTCAGACATCATCTCTGAAATTCCACGTTACGTTCATCCACACACTCATCAAGTTTTCCGAACGATTTTCATGCTTCCATTTGGATTTCAAAATGGATCTTTTTTTGATTTGCAACATTTTTTAACCAACTGCACTTTTCTAATAACTTGTGGCTTGGCCTTTCTAAACAGAAATTTGCTTATCTACTTAAGGAAAACCATATGTCAAAGCTATCAACATTACTGACAAATAATAAAATCATTTGCCTACCACAAGGAAACAGATAAGACGCCTGCAGCAGCTGAATGTAAAAATTTATTTCAGATTCTCTGATCGAATGCGAGTAGAAAAATAAAATATTTTTGATTTTGCATTTTCTGATTTCTTCAAATTAATATGCAGTATCAATGTTAGACAAAACTGTGAGTAAGAATTGCCTTAAACGATAATGATTTTTGGAAATTTCATTTTGGTCAACAAAACACTGTTCAGTGTGTGTAATTTTGTGTGGCCAGGGAAAGTATCCATTTCCTGCTTTTATACAAGTTGGTTGCGTTTTTATGGTATTTGACTTATGAATAAATTGATGCTGTTGTTCGTTTGCTTGTTCGCCTGCTTGTTTATTAACAACATTGCAAAAAGCGAACTTGAGCTGGCATCGTTTCAGCCAGTTGCAAGTTACCACAAAAAAAAAAAATCATAATTTTAATTAAGTTGTAGAAACTTAGTTCACACACAGTTACAAAATGCAATAATCAATAATTGCATTTGCTGGCTGGTCCTTTTTGTTTCCAGCTCACTGCTCACTTTACTGTTGAACTTTGCAGTTTGGGTTTTTTGTTCGATGCTCTTCCTAAATTACACTCGAATTTATCCTAGAACCTTATTAGTTATTTACGCAGCAGGCGCATCCATTTGTTGTTTTATGTATGTTTTCGAGTGTGTGGATGTATGTGTATGTGTCTGTGTGTGAATGTGTTTATGCAAACGCTCTGGCAACATTTGTGCTGTTGTAACTGTAGCTGTTTGTTGGCATTGTTATTATTATTGTCATTGTTGTTGTTGTTGTTGTTGTTGTTGTTGTTGTTGCTGGCAGTTGCTTCGTTCCGCCACCCGTTGCAGATTTATTGCCCGCAGTAGTTTTTAGTGTTTTGCCTTTGTTTTTCTTTATTTTGTTTTGTGTATGTGTTTTTGCTATTGTTAAAAGTTTACGGCGTTTTGCTGCGGCTGCTGCATTTCGCACACAGTTTGCACCATTGCTGCTGTATTTTTGTTGCATATTTATTTGGCTGGCGCACTGGGAGTGGCAGCCAAAACATTTTTGTGTGGCAGTTGCGATTTTGTCGTTGTGATTTAATTCTTTTGCGTTTATTTTTTTGTTATTTTTTCTCTTTTTCCACTCGTTGCTGTTGCAGCTTAATTAAACGTGAAATATTGAATTTCCAGATGGTTGCGTGTACGGCAGTGCGAGTGCGTATAAATATCGGACGAGGTCCAGTAAATCAGTTTGGATATTAGAGATGCTTGCATTTATATTTGTACAAGAGCATGACAAGCAGATATTGTGTAAGCACCGTTGCTGAATGCAAAAAAAAAAAAAGCAAAACAATTTTTATTTTTATTTAATCATGCTGAATGTTTTCAAATAATATTTAGTACAGAACCGTTTGGCGTCGGACGGAACCAATTAATGAAATTCTGGTTTCTTTTATGTAATTGAGTTTCTTTGATATAATTCTTAATTTAAAATCGAATTCCCTTTTTTCTCATCTCAATTTGTACATTGACTTGGCTATGGCATCCCACACAATTGCACTAATTGGCCAAATTATTTCAACTATTTAGCCAAACTCGTTGATGTTTCTGCTAGCATCTTGTGTAGCAAGCTCACCCAAACATAAATACGCACAGCATTCCGGCATTCCCGAATTGCGCTAATGATAAATAAATTATGCGATGCCAGCATCACACAAACGAATTCACGCCGCACACCCTCTCCAGTGCTGCTAAACAAACCACAAACAGAAAATAAATAAACTCGCTGGCAATGCCAAAAGATAAGTAGGCGCCCCGTTGGCCCTGTGCACATTAAAGCACTTGGATCAGGACCTGAATGGCGAGAATGAGAATGAGCATGAGGATGAGGATAAGGACGAGTATGAGTATGAGGATGGGTACTTTACTGTTGGCTGCGAGCTGTTGGGCATTACTGGAAGCAAACGCACACACGCGTTAATAAACAAAATCTGTTGCTAATGTACAAAATAAGTTAATTATGGGAACACAAAATGCGAAAATGCTCTGTTGATGGCGACAACTTTTGCAGCTTTTGAAAATCAAACTGACTCGTCTGTGTGTGTTGTGTGTGTGTGTGTGTGTGTGGGGGTATAGTTGTTTTTTTTTTTGGCATAAATGTGCTTATGATGCGCTTGTTTGTGCGAGATAATTGCGTTTTATGGCAAAGACAAACACACAAACAAAAGCAACAGACGAACAATCTAATAAATACAAAAAAAAAATTAGGCCCAGATACAAATCCATAAAGCAGTTCATGCTGAGGGTCGAGCCGGCAACTAGAACAACAACAGCAACAGCAATAGATTACAAATTACATGAATAATAAACAAACACAGAGACGGACAGCTAAAACCGCAGCAGGCCCCCCGCCGCAATTGACCAATGCAATTTATGCGTGCAGTGCATAATTCTAACCAAAAATATAGTATATAGGCGCTTGTAATTTGAAATTTATGCCTGGCCATTTTCGAGTGCACATCACCGTGAATTTGGCATATTTTATTTGTAATTTGTTAGCCGCCTGTCAATATTATTTTGCAATTAAAATTTAATAATATTTGCCAACAGCCTTTTGAAACGCCATTTTATTATTTGTATTTTTCTGATTGCTTCGCAAGCCCTCCCCGTGCGGTTACACACACACTCATATGCACACATATATACATATACACTCACATATCTAGTATATATTTGCATTTTTTCCGCATATGCAATCTAACTGACAATGTCAGAGAGCAATTTGTATTTTTGGTTTGAATCGTTCGACTGAATAAAATGATATGTCGAATTATAGTTGATTGTTTCGTTGTCGATGGTATATGGCAAAAATGGATTAAAAATACTCAGTTATAAATCGCTTAGTATACAACAATCAATTTCGCATACAATTGCAGTTTATTCCCCTCAAAATTGAGAAATAAGTGTAGTACTTCTAAAAATATATAAAACTAGACTATCACAGCTGAATTGAAACTCAATTTTATTTAGGTTTATTTATAGCACTTAATTGCCCCATCAATTTCTCCTAAATGGTGAACAACAACATTTGTAAACCCATTACCCCTTAGAACTTAGAACATTAAGAACTCTATTTAATCAGCTGCTTCGTTGCATACCTTTTTAACTTGAGTCTAATCATATCCGATGTCGAGCATTAGAGGAATGTTCAAGCCGAGAAAGCCACACCAACCTACATAATAAGCGTCAGCAAGAGTCCTGTGAAAGTGCACTGCACAGCTGAGTCCTTAATCGGCTCACTGTTCATAGTGAACTAAAGTGAATGTGTCAGTCATAAGCATAGTTAAGCAACGCCAAATGAGCAGCTTGTTGGGAGGAGGAGCATAAGAATTCTTGCATGAAGCTGGTTTCATTGCAGCGACACCATTAAAATATTTTACAAGCATTTGGCATCAACATTAGAGCAACAGCAACTGCCACAGCAACAGCAGCAACAACAAAATCATCCACTGAGAAGCACTCTAATAGAGCTCTGATTTCGACATCTATTTCGATTCGCTCTCCGCTCACGGAATGCCATCGTCAGTTGCCCGTAGTCTAATCCCCATCTATGTCTATCTATCACTCGATCAGTCTGTCCGTCCATTCGTCTGTCCGACCGGCGATTGTCAGGCAATCACACAGCCTGGCGCGGCATCGTCATCAACATCGACGCCTGTCGCTCTGTCATTGGCACCTCCTCTGCTCACTCTGCTTACGCTGCTGGCTGTCAATCCTTTTAATGGTTTGCCGCTTTTAATGTCACCCTACTCTCAAGTGGATTTCGACTACTTCGTCAATCGTGTGGCCCATTTGCCGCTATCAAGTGGCCTGGCTTCTTCGTATTCTACTTCTTTTTCGGCTTCGTCTTGGTTTATTTGTGTTCTATTATGGCAAAAGTGTTTGCTTCAAATGACATTTGCTGCACTCGCCCACTTCACTATTTTCATTGTTGTTGTTCTGCTTGTTGTTCTTTTTAATGTTGTCACTTAAGAGTGTGACATTCTTATAATTTCATCCCGTCTGTCTGTCTGTCCATATAATTGCGAAGCTGTAGAAGTTCCAAAAGATTGCTATGGCCGCCTGTTGTTGAAAAGTAAATGCAATTGAATTAACTATTCTCAGAGATCGAGCGAAAACAGTTGACAACTGAAATGGGATTCTATTTGTGTTTGCTTTTCGTTCTTTGACTATATTTTTTTATTAATTGCTTGTAAATATGTTACTACAGTCCAAGTAGTAGTAAAAGTAAAAAGTTTGACAACAATAAATCATCTTATAAAGTCTCTTAATGCAACTCATTCAACTCGATTTTTCAGCAGCAAAATAAATATCAATTAGTAGGAATAGTTACAAAAAAAAAAGCCAACTCACCCATTGTCGAGAACACGAGCATCAGAAAAGCAAGGAAGATCCAACCGCCTGTCGCCTGGTTGCTGTAGCGGGTCTGGCGTCGCTTTCGCGACTGTCTAAGTCCATGTCCTATGATTGCTGGCACTGCTGGGTGCTCTGTCATTTTGCAAAAGTTGGCTGACAAGCCGCTGGGCGATTGCGGCACCAACAACATGATCGGGGTCGAACAATATCTCTCACTCGCAGACAGGCAACATTCGCGGCACATTCAATAAACACTTCAACTTCACACGCTTCGCCGTCTGTTGGGGCCGCGCACAGAGACTGTTTACAGTTGCCAATTGGAGAATATGCAAATTATTAATGTGCACTGCTGTGCTCTCAGATTGCTGCTTTGAATGTTTGGCGTAGTTGCTCATCGGCCAAATCGGCTGACGATTTAAATTGCCGCCACTCGAAGAGTTGTGTCTAATAAGCGGCCAGATGAAATCAAGTCTGAATATGGTTCACGCTTAGCGTTGTTTGTATTCACTGAAATTTGCTTTTGATTTACACTTTTTGGATTTGCACATTTTTGTTGTTTTTTGTTGATGTTGTTGTTGTTGATGAGTTTTGCTTTCGATCGCTTTAGTTTACAAACTCAATTTCCGGCTTTTAATTATTGTTTGTTTGGATGGCGTCCATTTGGCCACAGTCTTTCACTTTACACTGATTACAATCCACGGAATTGAATTTGAAATTGTTTTTGTATTGCCTTTTCAGCTAATTGCTTGGCTCTGCTTGTTGGTGTGCATCCAGCTGTTGTTGCCGGAAGTGCGCTGCAAGTGCAAGAATAAACACTGATGCTTAGTTATTGCTTTATTTTTTTATTTTTGTTGTATCTGTTGTTGAGTAGAAACTAATTTAACAATAAGCTGCACAGAATTTACCGGTCGCAAACGTGCCTAGGACAAGTTGACAAACGACTGAAAATTGTTTGCTGCCTGCCGCCTCTGCTCGGAAGACTCTCGCGAAACACACCCCAAAAATAATGGTGTGACGTAGGCGGGCCAGCGAATCCAAAATTAGCGCGCTGGAAATGTTGCGCAACATGTGCGCTTCAGCGCAGCAATGTTGCCGAACATGTTGCTGTCGCAGCAGCAGCTGACAGGAAGCAGTCCAAAGCAAGTATTCCAAACAATAATAAATAATATGTAATATGCTAGCAACATCAAAAAGAGAAAATTAAAAAAAAAAAACTGAAAAACGCAAGAAGAAGAACGACAGTCTCTTGTTTTTATGCAATGCCAACAACAGCAGCATGTTGTGTTCTGTTTTTGTTTACACTAATGAGACTGTGGACAAGTGGCTACTGCTGCACTTGAGCCTCAGCTGCAAGGATGAGTGAGTGTGTGTGTGTGTGTGTGTGTGCAATGCTTTTCAGGCTCATTCACAAGCTGCCTCCGTTCTGCGCATCAAGCGCAATTTTAGATGCCACTCAACGTTGTTGTTGTTGCTGTCACTGCCACTACCCGCCCTGATCGTTACTGTTGCCACATGCCACTCGCTGAGGCCGGACTGTTGCAGCAGCTTTGTTTATTTAAGTTTCAATTACTCAGCTACCCTCAGATTGGCATGCGTTAAAGCAACAAATTTGGCTTTGTTTTCGTTGAATGCTCGCCTTTGTGCACTGCTGTATGGAAGGATATCGCTGCATAAACGCCGCCACACAAGTGGTTTTAATGTGCGGCTCGGTGCAATTGGAATTGGTTAAGGTCTGCACGCCTATAAGGTTGCACATCATAAATAAAATGCAACTTTTGGCAGGGTGGCCCCAACTGCCGGCCTCTCAAGTGCGCTGACTCCAATCGGCAATTCATAACGCTCATTAGCTAGCAGCCCTTAGCTGCCACAAGACACCCCCCCCCCCCCCCTCCCCACACATACACTCAGAAAATTACTGATATAGTTTTAGAAATTGCATTAAAATTTAAATCATAGAAACAATTATATTTATATTTATTTTATTGATCAATTATATAAAGTTAGAAGATATTCAGAAATGTATAAGACTTATTTTGGTTTATTGTATCTTATATTTTTGTTTGAGTGCACACACACTCGTCTTGCTGGCTATGTTAAATTGGTATCTTTATGTGGCACAGACGCTGCACTCTTCCTCGCCTTCACTGTGTGGCAGCAACAGCAGCAGCAGCAGCTTATCGATGTCGCAACTGCAACTGCTGGATAGCTGCTTGGCTTCTTTGGTCGCCCGCACACCTTACTTAATGCACAACATACAGATAAAACCGAAAACATAAATAACGCACACAAATAAAAATACATGTATTTATATGTGCGTGTAAACTACACTATATGAGCTTTTTACATGCTTATGTTTGTGTGGCAGAACATGGCGATGCACTTAGATATTTTATTGTGCAACACGCAACCCCTTGACAAGCGCAACACGTGCGATTTGAGAATTTTATAAAAGTGTTTATTAGCCCGCTTGATTGTCGCTTTGCTCGCCGTCGCTCCTGTGTTATGATGTTATAATGTTGTTCAGCAGCAATGAGGCCGTCAAGGGCCGGACGGTGGGGAGGGTGGCATCTGCCCCATGTGTGCACGTCACGGCACTGACATTGACGACGCTGACGATGCCGTTGTGAAACGACAAATTTTAGTACTCCAATGAAAATTGAAACACATAAAAACGCGTGAAAAACCGCACAATTAAATGGCTGGAGTGGCATATGGCAGACAACCGGAGGCAGCGGGGTGATTCTTGCCACACGAGCCGGAATACATTGTCAAAGACACGCGTACTCAGACTAAGTATGTGGTGTCTGTTGGGAATATTTTAATTACACTTTTGTTATGTGTTTCCGCTTTCAAGGCCATGTGCCAAGGCAAGTTGTATCAAGTCATTAGATAGTTTATGTGATAAAAGTATTAATTGGAAATAAAAAAATATTTTAGTCACTTTTTTTTGTGTATTAGCTGCGATTAAAAACCATTCTTATTTATTAAGAATCTCTTTTCATCTTTTTCATATGTGTGTTACTTATATAATTATATTATTCTCTCTTTAATCTTTTGACATACGATTTTAATATATGTTTTTGATGCCATTTATTTGAATAACTACGTTTGTCCCAATGCTTTCAATTACTAGCGTACAACAAAAATGAAAGCCCAACACTCTGCACATTGTTGTCCCATTAAAATGTAGACTGTCGCACATATATGCCAGCACCTAGCATCATATTGTGTGTGTCACACAATTGGTAGCTAGCAACATGCAATGACAACGCCCTTCGGAGAGGCCCGTCATCTGCTATCGAACGCATCGTCCTTTGTCAGACCTAGAGATGCAAATTGTCTTTGACATGGGCAAGTACAAGATAATAATTCTCTCATCTACATATGCACATCACATCAACATATGTGTGTGCACACACGACCACCCCTCAAGGCTGTTCCTTACAATTTCCGGTTACATGTCGGTCTGTCGCTGGGTATGACTGTGTGTCTGTCTACCTAGTCGTCTGTCAAATGTTTCGTTTTCTAGCTTTATTATGATTGGAGTTCCTTGTTAAAAAGTATACCTTACCTTGGCTTTAATTATAAACATTTCAAATGCAATTAAGTTTCTATACACAACATGTACCATTCTTGTCTAACTAGACTCTTTCTTATTAAATGGAATAAACAGAACTAATAACGTTGAATACATATACAAAATATATGTGAAATATTTAAGAACAGTAATGCATCTGGTTTTCAGTCCGTATTATTTTTTAATTACTTGATTTTATAGGGACATATACATTGATCTTTTCTGAAGTTATATTGAGAAACAAAAGTAATAATTTTAAGTTAAAGGCAGTTAAATAGTCGATATACTGGATATCCTCCCAATTAGCCAATCCTTGGACCTAAATAACATTCTCATATTTGGATGTTTGCGTCTTAACGCTCGGATGCATATCATCAAATTAACATTGTTGTTTTGGCAAAATTGATAAGTGTTTTGCTTCTTTTTTTTAGTATTTTTAGTCATATTTTTTGTCTTATTGTCCTCTTTGAAATGCGCATATTTATGAGTTGGTATCTATTTGTTTATTCATAGGAATTCGTCGCAAAACATTTCTGATTTGTAAATCAGCATTCCAACCGAATAACGCACTTTGGCCATGATAATGAAAGCCAGACATCGCCACCGCCCCATCAAAAATATTTCCCTCACAGACTCACAGATACTCAAACAATGTATTGGAACCGTTTAATCGTAACGACCTCAAGCCGAGTGTAAATTCAAACGGCTTCTTTGATTACAGTTCAAAATTGAATGCTCTAATTAGCATTGTGCGGCGCACCAAAGAGAAATATATGCACAGACACACTAGTATCACAAATGATAAATCAAGTGGCAAGCATAATGCGGCACTATGCATGCCACGCACACAGACACTTATGCCACGTATATATATATAGTTATATATTTATATATATATATAGTGTGCTTAGTAGCTTATAGTAGATGCTTGCATAAGTTGCTATGCTGCCACTGCCAACATTTTCATCACGCTGTTTCGCCGTCGGCTGACGATGAAATGCACGCACACACACACACACACACACATACTCACACACACACACACACACACACACACACACACATACACACACACTCACATTAATAATTATTTATTTGCACACATATCAACATAGCAAGCAAACAAAGAAATTATCCTTTAATTGTGTTTGCAGTGCAATGGTATTAAATATTTTTATAGAATACGAAAGGTGGGTGGCGTAGAGTACAGGCTAATAATTGCATACGTACATATATTTGTATGTGTACATATATAATTATGTTAATATGTTAATGTGTCATGACGAGCGATGGATTTTAATTATGCGCGCATTTAAGACCTTTAATTATGGCTCTGAAACAATGAACACAGAACAAAACGGTCATAATTCGGAATACGTTTTACATTTGCTGTAATAATATTAAAAATTACAAAGTTGTTTTTAAATTTCAGTATGGCTTTAAAATGGAATGCCAGTCAAAATTTCGCACTTAACGCAATATTATTGTATACTTTATTATAAATATACCTGGGCACATATAGTATTGTAAATATTATCGAATTTAATGCACCTTTCTGTGGCATGTTTATGCCAATGCCTATTAAATTGCCCGATTTGCTCTCGGACTCCGCACGGCTGCCTATTAAATTGACAACAAAAAAGAAATTCTATTGAAGCACCAAAAAAAACCGTCTACAAATGGGGGCGAGCCCGGCGATGGCAACCACTTCAAAACAGCCTCATCGAAATCTAAGCAAATTTTCAACGTTTTTGCTATGGCTGTTGGGCTGCGTTCAATATTTACATTGGACAATGGCTGTGGATGGGAGCGGCGAATTTGCATTTGAAACATAATAATCATTGACCTTTTTATGGCAACGGTACGCGCTTTTTAATAAATTGTTTACTTCCTGGCCTTGTGGGGCCCAAATACGGAAGAAAAAAATCAATGTCCAATAAATTGCTGCAATAACCATTGAAAATATCGTCAACATTTGGAAAGTTCTCGTTTTTTAATGGGGTGGGGAAGGCTTTTTGGGCTTTGGTCTGTCTGTCGCTTTGACAAGTTTGGAGAGTGCGGCCAAGGGAAGATACAATTGAATTTCAGTGTTGGCAATTTAATTTCTTTTGTTGTCAGCGGCATAAACATAAAGAGAGTGCCGCCACGCCCCATTTTGGGTAGGCGCCCCTCACATTTTGGCCAAGTGCTTTACAGCTGCGATTGCTGCTGGCATTT